GAGCAAGCCAGTGAATAGGAAGAGGAATGAAAAATATTAGGAGAAATCGCTTGTGCGAATCTACGGACGAATGAAGATAGATAAAAAAATAAGAGAGAGAGAGAATGAGAACGAGAATGAGAATGAGAATGAGAGAGAGAGAGGGAGAGAGGGCGAGAGATAATTAGATGCTCATGAATATGCTACCAATCTTGAGCCCCGTATCGCAGCGCCGGCCGCCCGACCCGCGTTTAATTCGCAGGCGCATTTGTCTCCCGCGGCCGACCTCTATACATCCTGCAACACTCGGCCGATAATAATAATATCAGGGCGGCGTTCATTTGGCCCCAGCCCCGAGCGTCGCCCGTTCGCATCCTGGCCACACGACCATGTTTGTGGGACTAACAAATGCACGCTGTTGTGCCGAATACAGCCGGGTATTTGCATATTTATTCTACCTGTCAGGGTGATCGCTGGTCTGCCGCGCTCGAGCCTTGGGACGGCCGCTGAAACCCGAGTCTGGAAAAGTGGTGCTGCTTCGTTCCGTGGAAGAGGAGGAGGGAAGGGGAGAGGGAAGAGGAGGAAGGGGAGAGGGAAGAGGAGGAAGGGGAGAGGGAAGAGGGAAGAGGAGGAAGGGGAGAGGGAAGAGGTGAAAGGGGAGGAAAGAGGTGAAAGGGGAGGGAAGAGGTGAAAGGGGAGAGGGAAGAGGAGGGAAGGGGAGGAGAAAGAGGAGGAAGGGGAGAAAGGAGAGGAGGAAGGGGAGGAGGAAGGGGAGAGAGGGGAGGATGAAGAGGATGAAGGGGGAAATGGTAGGGGAAGAGAGAAAGGTGGGGAAGAGGTGGAAGGGAAGGAGGAGAGGAGGAAGGGGTGAGAAGAAGAAGAAGGGAAGGGGAAGGGAAAGGGGAAGGGGCGCAGGGGTAGAGAACGGGTGGGTGGGAGCGAGGAGAAGCGTGCTTGGGGCATGTCATGAGGAGGAGCCCTTGCCCCTTTTGTCCCCCGTGTGCCAGGGGAGTCTGCCTCCGCCCCGACGTAGAAGGGGAAGAGGGAGCGCTGGTGGTCCCCGTGTGGCAGGGGCGGGAGGGGCAGGGGTCGAGGAGGGACGAGGGGCGAGGGCTTGAGTGGATCGCAGGAGCCCGGAAAAGTGGTTTGTAGCGCGTACAGAGGGATTGGAGTGAGGGCCCCGCTCGGAGCTGGTTTTCCATTTCTGGAATTTTGTTCCGCTGTAAAAAACTGCGAGACGGATCACGCTCGCCTCTCGTTTGATTATCTCGACGCAAATTCGGGCGGAGGCGGAGGCGGAGGCGGCGGCGGCGGGGTTTCGGTCGGGCCGCCGTTGGGGGTCGCGGTCGTGCTTGCTAAGATGCTTGGGGTCGTGGTCGTGGTGCGAGGGTCGTCCAGGCCTGGGGTATTTTTTTTTTTGCAAGAATTTCAACATCGCCGCCAGGGGGTAATAGCAGATTTTCGAACCACACGTCGAAATACCTCAGGCAAAGTACAACCAAACAACATGAGGGCAGAACGACCAGACGACCAGTAAGCCACCACAGCGGCTGCAAGACCCCCCACCCCTCCCCTTCCCTCAAGCCCCCAATACTAACCCCCCACCCCCCCTCTCCATCAACAGAACCTCCATGCCCCCCTCGCCCCCTCTCGTCCCTTTCCCCCCCTCTCTCCTCCTCTCCCCCCTCTCCCCACCGCCCCCCCCTCGCTGCTCCATATCACTGCGTCACTGGCCATCACACGCACCAGCAGTCCGAACGACCCCCGCTTCACTTGACGCCAGGTTCATACACACGGTTCGCTCTTGGGCCCCGACTTTCAAGGCTTGTCGGCCTCGCTGGTTCACAATACAGGTTTCATTAGAGGCTAAAGTTTTGCTTTTTCGCGTCGGCCGTCGGAGCGCAGTGTCCGAGGCCGAGGCGAGATGCGCAGGTGGGGGAGCGGAGGAGGTGGGGGGACGGAGGAGGAGGAGGAGGGTGAAGGAGCGGTGGGAGGAGGAGGAGGAGGAGGACGAAAGATGGGGGCGAAGGAAGATGGAGGGGGGAGTTGAAGACGTAGGGTGGGTGGTGGAGGGTTGCTTGATCTACTTGCGGCTGCGGGGAGGTGGTAGGGAGGTAGATAGAACAAGAGGGGGAGGAATGGGAAGAGATAAAAAGAGAGAGAGGGAGAGGGAAAGAATCGGATTGAGGACGTCGAGATAAGGAGATAAATGAAGGAGAGAAGAGAAGAGAAGAGAAGAGAAGGTTTCGCAGCGGCGTTGGTACAGCGTGCGGCGGCGGCGGCGGCGGCGGCGGTGGCAGCCATATGGTCCAGCCGTCAACCTGCGCCGTGATGTATAGGTCTTATTATGCCCCCTCTCGCTGCTCCTGCTTCTGCTCCTGCTGCCGAGGGAGGGGGGGAAGGGGGGGAAGGAGGGGGAGTCTTGAGTCTGAACGCCGCGCCTCGACTTCGTTTTCTTTTACTCTCTTTTTACTCTTTTTTTTATCTCTTTCTTTCTTTCTTTCCTTCCTTCGCGCCCTGAAGTATTTTTGATTTGTTTGCTTCTGTTCTCGCGCGGCTTTGTATCGCCTCTGGATCTTTTCTCTGTCTGTCTTCGTTTTTTATTTTTTTATCTCTCTTCTCTCTTTCTCTGTTTCCCTTCCGTCTCTTCGTCTATCATCGACGACGCTGGCCAAGTGACGGTGCAGTATTCCGGTCATTTCTTTATTTACTTGTTTTTTATTTATTTATTTATTATCTATTGCTTCATCTTCTTCTTCTTCTAATTATTATTATTATTATTATTATTACTATTATTATTACTATTACTGTTATTATTATTATTATAATTATTATTATTATTATTATTATTATTACTATTATTATTATTATTATTATTATTATTATTATTATTAGTATTACTCTTACTATTATTATTGTTCTATTGCTCTTTTTTCCATTTTCTTTTTCTTTTTCTTCTGGGGAGCGGAGTGGCGGAAGGTGATAAGAACGAGAGAAATATCGCGGTGTTGAATATTCCGTCGCGTTTCCCTCCGTCAGGGAAGTCCTCGCGCCCTATCCTCTCTCTCTCTGCGGTCGTGCCCTGGTCTTTATGCACACTTTTTTTTTCTCTTTTTTCTATTCATTTTTTTTAATTCTTTTTTTTTATATATTATTCATCCATTCTTCGCCGGTCGGGATCAAAATATATTACACACTAGTCAGAGCAACGTAGCCTAAAAACTCTGGACATATGGCCATGAATCTATTTTTCTCCGCGAGCAGCCTGTAGGTAGGCTGGAAAAGGGGGAGAAAAGAGAGAGAGAGACACCCCCACCCCCCTCCCCCCTTCACCCTTCTTTTCTTCCTTCCTTTCCTCCCTTACTCCTTTTTCTCCCTTCTTTCCCTTCTTCCCCTTTCTCGATGCTCCTGCCTTCCTCCTATCTCCCTCCTTTTCTACCCTTCCCTTCATTCCCTCCTTCATCTTTCTTCACCCATCCTTCATTCCTCTCCTTCCCTCCCTCTCCCCCCCCCCCTTTTTTTTTTTACTCTCCCTCATTCCCACCCTCCCTCTCCCCCCCCCCCTTTTTTTTTACTCTCCCTCATTCCCACCCTCCCTCACCCCCCCACCCCACACCCCCCACTCACCCCATCTACCGGCAAGACTATAGCGATTCTCAACCGTTTACGTCCACATGATCAACCTCTTTGTCCCGGCCGGTCGCCCCGATGCTCACCTCCAGCCCGCAACCACTCGCCTCCGCCCGACGCCAGGGGGGGTCTTGCCCTCTCTCTCTCTCTGCCCGCCCGCCCGCCCGAACGCCCAAACGCCCGCCCGCTTGCTTGCCTGCCTGCTTGCTCGCCTTGCTCGCTCGCCCTCCTCTTGCGAATGTGTGTGTGTGTGTGTGTGTGTGTGTGTGTGTGTGTGTGTGTGTGCGTGCGTGCGTGCGTGCGTGCGTGCGTGCGTGCGAGTGTGTTGGCGCAAGAGGGTAGAAGGTGGGGAGGGGTAATGGAGGGATAGATAGATAGATATATAGATAAATAGATAGAAAGATAGATAGACAACCAGCCAGACACAAACAGACAGACAGACAGACGAATATATCAGACCAATAGATAGATAAATAGATAGAAGGGGACAGGGAAGAGGCCAAGACGCGGCCACCTTCCCCCCTCTCCCCCCCCTCCCCCCACGACTCCCAACACCGCCAACAGGAGGATTAGGCCACAAGGATTACACGACGGCGGAGATATGGGGATAAATCCGCTATGGGATGACACCGGGAAATCCACAGATGAACCCGCGGAATCCACAAAAAAATGGGTTAAAATGAACCCATCGCCAGGCCATTGGGAGGGAGAGGCCGCGGGTGTGCTGCGGTCCGGTCTCTCTCTCTCTCTCTCTCTCTCTCTCTCTCTTCTCTTGTTCTCTTTCTCTCTTCTCTTTTCGGTTTCTCTTTCTTTCTCTTTTCGTTCTCTCTTCTCTTTATTTTTCTCTCTTTCTTTTCGTTCTCTCTCTCTCTCTCTCTCTCTCATTCTATCATTCTCTTACTCACTCACTCTTCATCTCTCTATCTATCTACCTACTTATATCCATCTATCTTTCTCTCTCCCCCCCCCCCCCCATCTATCTCTCCCTTTCTCTCAAAGAAAGAGCACTTCCCACCTCCGGCTAATTTTCCGATTGACTTGCCTCTTGTATATCCTCTTCTGGTCTCATTCATAACACCTCCCCCCCCCCCTTTTCCCCTCCTCCCCTCTTCCCCCCTTCCCCCCCTCCCCCCCCCCTTGTGCATGCGTCGGCCCGACACCCATTCACAACCGACCCATTATTCCCGAAATGTGTCTACCTTCCCTCTTTTTTTAACACCCCCCTCCCCCCCCTCCCCTCCACCCCCCCTTCTGGAAAGACCGTCGTGTCTCTTTGCTTTATCTGTTTATTTATTTATTTTTTTTACGTTATTTTATTTTATTTTATTTTGTTTCCAAAGATCCTTTGCGTTCTTTCTATTTTTTTATCCTTCCTTTTATATATGTATATA